TGGCAATGCTCAAAATGCAACACTTCATTTCAACAATGTGAGAAGACAAAGCAGCACAGAGAGGAATCTGAGCACAGATGTCAAAGGTCAGCAACACGTACATGCAAGGGTTCATGTTTCACTCTTAGCTCACTCTCTGGGTATTTCCTCTGTGGTGGACTGGCTGCCCATTGCACTGAGGTTTCCATCACCTGAGCAGGCAACGGTGCCTCTACATGGAGTCTCCTAACCACTCTGAAAGCCCTAATCATCCCATACCACAAAACCCCCCGCAGCATGTTGTCATGGCTGCCATTACCCACCAAAGACCCGAGTGAGTCACCATATTTCCACTTCCAGATGATAACACCAGGCCTGGCTGTGTTTTGCACGCTCAGAGCTCACGTGACTTCTTTCAGTCAATGGAAAAGCTTATTCAGATTTTTTTTTTTTTTCTTTTTGCAGCTACAATCCTCGCTTGACTCCAGACGTCTAGACCTCTCCAGCCGTGCTCACTGGAGAATCATAATCTTTACCATTTGTCTGTAAACCATGTGTAAACCTCTGTACAGGAAGTCAGCTTGATGTATCCACCTCCACAGAGCAGCTTTAAAAACTCCACCGCTGTGGAATTAGAAAGTGGGCAACCAGACCTCTGTGGCCCACTACTCATATCTGCTTGAGGGTAGCGGCTTCAGGCTACTAACATAACAGCCACAAATTTCTGACAGAACAGTCAGTGATCAAGTTGCATTGTGGGTACTGCAGGCACCTAATTTCGAGAAGGAAGTAGAATGTGCGGTATAAAAAACAGAATATTACTGGTTCTGCTGCATCCAATGCAATGCTACATTGGTAAATGATAAATGGACTTGCACTTGCCTTTTTTAGTCTTCTGACCACTTAAAGCGCTTTTACACTACAGAGTAACACTGACACATTCACACACACATTTATACACTGGTGGCTGAGGCTACCACACAAGGTGACACCTGCTACTCAGTTTAGACATTCACATGCCCTCACACACGATTGGCAAAGCCATCAGGAGCAATTTGGTTCAGTATTCTACTTTATTTGAGCCAGAATACACTGATGAAGAGCTTCGTGAAATTGAAGAACGGAGGAGGAGAGAGAGAGAGGCGCAACAGGTAGAGGATGACAGAGGAGGAATGGCTGCTGCAAGGCTTTAGCTCTGGAGATCGGTGGTGTAACGTTACCTGTGAATGCTGTGCCCCAATGCCCACAGAAGAGGAATGCCTCTGCTAAATAGTAAACAACAAACATGGCAGCACACCGGTAAGGTAAGACAACACGTTTACATGTCGTTTTCTATATGTTCTCTGACATTTATCCTAACGATATGAGGCAGTCTTTGTGGAAAAAAAAGCTTGTTTAGTGGACTAACTTTGCACTTTAAGGTTGCCCGTTCACTTACGTTTTAACAGGTCTGACGCCACGGCTGTATCTAGGCTAACGGCTAACATGCTAACTATTATTTCTATGTCACTAGTGACTTGAAACAAATTTAGGACGACAGGAGACGGGTTGAAATAAACCAAAATTTCCCTTTAACATGGGGGTCTATGGGTTTTGACACTTTTAGAGCCAGCCACAAGTGGCCATTTGAGGAACTGTTTTTTGGCACTTCTGCATTGGCCTGATTTTTAGCCCCAGAGGTGGCTGCTTGGTAGATTCACACTGTAAACCTACAAAAACTGAGTTTTTTTGGCAACTTTGGAGCAGCGGAAACAAGTTGTGAATACCACACTGACATGTTATCACTTTTTAAGTTGATATAGTAAATGTGTTGGCAAGCTACTTATTTAGCTGCCAAGTGTTCCACTATGCTGTGCAGGTGGGCTGTGGGCTAGACAGCTAAACAAAGCCAAGAGGAGCTGCAGATTCAGGTGATAATTCTCTGTAGATTCCAAACAACTGACCCTTTTCACATTGTTTCCTCACTGTCATTTGATAGATTGTTATTGTAAAAATATCAATCACAGCCGCTTTAACAAACTCTTGGGTCAGAGGGAGTATATTTGACAAGCTCAGGCACTCAGTGAATAGTTTTTCAATTCAAGCCAACCATTACAGCCCCTAAATCGTGACAGTTGCTTTTGGAAAAGAGAAGAAAAGCTCTGCTGAGGTGTCCACACATGTTTTGAGGGCATTATGGAAAATGCTATATTAGTTTTGAAACTCTCCAAAGAAGCAGGGGAGTGGGTTAGACAGAGAGGCAGAGGCAGAGTTAGCTCTGGTTTGCAGTTTGCTCATAACATTGGAATGTGGATTCATGAGGCCTGCACAGTGAACAGAAAGATAACATTCTGCTTTTGGTGGCAATTAGGCTGGAGCTTATTGGCCAGCCCAGAAAGCGATGCTCAATGGAGCAAGGTCCGACCAGACAGCTCTGACAGTTATGAGTGCAACACCTAACAATTACCAGTTTAACTTCACTCTCCCTGACACACTTTCACTGCAGGCTATTAAGAAAGGACAGTTATTAAAACAGAGTCAGTGTGGGTTATTAACGTTACGAGTACAGAGCTGTTTCCAGCCTAGAAAAGATTTATTATTTAAAGGGACATTGACAGTACTTCTAAGCCTGTGAAAAGGATTGTATCTTGTTTTCTGTGACTCTGGAGGGACTTTGTTAAGTCTGAAAGAAAAACTCTTGTGTTGTCAGGTGTTTGAGGGAGGTGGGCATTTAAGCTACCATGCAAGAAGGGTCTAAAGCAGTGTTTCCCAACTGGTCCAGCCACGGGGCCCAGATTTTTCCTTGGTCATTAGTTCAAGGTCCACACAGTTTAATATATTCAGCGTCATACTTGCCTTTGGCCATGTCGTTAAGCTAGTTTGCCACCTCTGTCAAGTAGCTGTTTGTTAGTCACTCACTACAGCAGGAGACGGCACTTTAATTAAAGCTCTGTGCCAGAAATTCACTGTACTCTAAAATAAAGTGTGTTTTTTACAAACTGGACACATTTGTGAGTCACTTGCGGTCCACTCAGAACAGACACGTGATCTACTTTTGGATCTAGACCACCAGTTGAGAACCACTGGTCTAAAAAACAGTCTTTTTTAATCCATCTGTCAGTCTAGTTTGCTAAGAAATTATAAAGTAAATGAGGAAATGTATGATGGAAGAAGAGGAAGCATTAGTCCCTTGTAGAGGAATTAAAGTAATTGGCCGATTTTTGGAATATATATCCAACACATTCTCAGTCCAAGCTCGTCATAAATCGACATTTGGTCATGGACTTTCCACATCCAGATACGACGTGCAAGGTACCCTGGGTGTGTTGGTTGTTGACGTTCTGGAACGCTGTGTCAAGTTCTGCCTGTTACATGGATTGTCTTCTTTCCTGTGTGAGCAGCACATGTACATTGTAGAACCTTTTGGGGTGTTTTAGCGGTACCCCTGTTAACAACTTTTGATAATCATACAGTATTGATATAACGCTACCTTTTATTACAGTTTCAATGTCTGTGTTGTCACGGTTATGAAAACTATAGGTATCCATTTGTAACTCAACACTTCCTGTTTCCGTTTTAAAATAAATGCCCTCTGACAAGTTTTGTTGTCAACGTTGTTGACAGAATCCCTTCATTTGTTAACATGAGACTGTGGAGTATCAGCTTAAATTGTGGATATACAACAGTTGCCGTATAGCAGGCAGCTCTGCAGCAGCAACACTGTCCATGTGAACACTGCACCTTTGAGATTCACAGCAGTTCAGCAAGGTAGCCATCATGCGCTGCTCCCTCAGGCAGTCTAGTCCAGGTTGTAAGTAGATGGAGGATGCTAAAACACTTAGCTTCTTAGTCTGGGAGGTATAACTCAATAAAAACACAAATATGGGTGGTCTACTCTTGCCTGCCAGTTTGCCAGTCAGTCAGGATAACAAGCAGACTACGGGGGGAGTTGATAATAAGCTTAAATGCTAATCACTTAATGTAGCTAAGTGAATGGAAAATGCTAAAGCGAGTAGCACCATACTCCACGGGGTAAACTTAAATATAAACACAGATTTGGGTGGTCTAACCTTGTTTGCTAGTAAGTCTAGTTAGTTTTCTAACCAATATGCAAAACATTTCAACATTAGTGATTGAAAAGAAAAGAAAATGGTTATGCTACTTGAACAGAAAGGGAGCTGCCAATCAAGTCTGACCTGATCACAACCCCACAATCCTGAGAAATGGTTGGAGCAGCCAAATGATCTGTTTTTGAACTAGGTTTTCTAATATCTTCTAAGATTTATTTTCACCAAGATGGTTTTATGTTTAAGACAGATTTTTACTGTTTCAAGCCAAGTTTCAAGTGGCTTCAGAGAAAAGTTACAAAAAACATTTGTGTATGTTGTCAATTCTTAGAAAGAAATCAAATTGCAATTGGCAGGTTAGACTTTTAAAAGATCAAAAATCTGAATCTGCCAAGAAAATTGCACTCGGTGCACCTCTAGTTCCTTGTCTTCACATTGTTTATAAATGAAGGCTTCAACAGCAGAATAAGTTCTCAAATCCATCACTGATAACAGCCTGTGAGGGAAACTTTCTTGATGAATAGTGGTGATAACACTGCACCCTAGCTGTGCAACTGCTGCCTCTTGCACCTGAGGTGCCAAATATAGTATGAGCATTGGAACTTTTTCCATAACAGTCCTGTCATGTGCCATAACTAAGATTTATGTACCATTACAGACACCAATATCTGAATGACAAAGCCCCATTACTTCAACTCAAAGTTGAAGGCAGTAATGTTACGTATTCCATGTCCGAGCAGGGTTTTAAAGATTTAAGGTGTTTATACAAAAAACTAAAAGCAGAAAAGATCATAAAACACAGCTATCAGCATTCAAGCTGACAAAGTGTCAGCAAACACATGTCCTTTGGCAAAACAGTAAAAAAAAAAAATGTCATAAAGAAAAAACAGCTTGAGTCAACAAAGGGTCTGCGAAGCCTTTGGCCTTAAAAAGTGCTTGACAGAGTGTGTAAGATTTCAGACACTGCAAGTTTACCTCCACATGGTTGGGCAGGGTGTTGACAAATTTAAATCCAGGGATTCTCTTGTCACTGCACACAACGCCTACATCTTCACTGTGTTTGCAGTCTGAAACACCGATTCCATTGGAGGGACACAGCGCCAAGGTCTTTTCTTTGCCAGTGCAGTGGAGATTGTCAAACCAGATGGGTCCTTTAGAGACAAAAGAGATATTCATCAGTGCTTCCACAGGGAGGAATTTTTCCCTTTAGTAGTGGAAACAAATGAGAAATGGATTTTTTTGAAGGCTGACCTGTTTTTTTCCCCAAAAATTGAGAAGCATTTACCATGAACAAGCTTCCAATGAATAATAGTGCAAAAAAGTTAAATTGAAAGATCCTGTGCATGATCTTTCAATTTAACTTTTTTGCACTATTATTCATTGGATGGAAGGTTCCATCAATATACTGCATGTTCAGCCAGTGTTGGCCTTATATAATAAAATATGAGATGTTACCAATTTGTATTGTGAGGATTATGTAACAGTGACCATACTGAATGTATTTCCACCTTGACAGGAAGAAAAACACTGACGTAACAGTGTTTTACATACCTTGTCCTTTCCCATATTTTGAGGATGGTGACCATGAGATGGCTTCCAGGTAACCCAGCTCCCTGCACACCACCTGGGCTGCATGGATAGTGAAGTCATCATCGCAGACAGTGCCCCATTCGTTGTTGTAGAAAACTTCTACGCGACCCTCGTTGTGTTTCCTCTTATCTCCCGCCAATCGGAGCTGAATCCTTGGCGTGTCTGCTGACAGCTGCGGGGCGGTGTACTGCTCCTGTTCAGGTTCGGGGTACCCCGGAGGGTAGCCGAGGTGTTCATACTGGGCAACAGCCAGTTCTAATAGCACTAACAGTATGACAGTGCAGCAGGGCAAACACTGGGTGGCCATATTTTGGTTGGAGCTAATGAGAAGATGAAAAAGAGAGAAGCACTCATTAAATTTCAGTTGGTTCTTCACAGTAGTGTGTGCCGGTTATAAGACAGGAAAGAAGAGCAAGTATCGGAGGGAACAATAAAGGAGCATTTGACAGATATTACAGTCTGAAAACCCCAAATATTGCCATCAGGGTAATCTGGATCTGGTCTTGAAGACGTATCAGAAAGCCTGTGTAACTGGGGACATGGAGTTTAGCAGAGGTTAATTACCAAGCAGGGAGGGTCTGAGAAAAAATAAACTATTAATTACATCATCTCTGCCTCTACTGATTTGATTTTGACCATTATTTCACTTTTTTTAATCTGTCTCTTGTGAGTCCCCCAGAACTGATTAAAGTGTAATTCTAAGTTGCTTAAGTGCCCCTTTAAACACCTCGCTATTAATTATACTGTTCCACCTGGTATAATAAATGGATTGTTCGGATCTGTTGTGGTGGGGTTGTGTGAGAAACTTATTCATAGTCAGTGTATTATATACAGTACAGTTGGCAGTCAGCATGTCCCCAGTTTTGATAAGCAGAGAGGAGTACTGACACAGAAGCTAAGCAGTGTACTGGGGCTGCCCCTTAATAGTCAACCAAACGTTAGTCGACTTGAAAGGTCATTAGTCGGCAAGATTACATTGGTCACGTAGTCACAAAAAAAAAAAAAAAAAAAAATATGAACCTCTACTAGGAGCTGCACCTTGTCAAAATAAATCAAAACCTATATGACTGGGCCATGTGGGAATTTAATTTGAAAGAACAGACACAGGAAGTGGCCACACTCAGCAGTCAGACAGGAGTCATGTTAATTTTCACTTCTGTCGGGCAGGATCATTTAGAGAAGGTGAAGGACGAACCCAAGGTGATATGTAAACTATGCTGGCAAACATTTGCCGACTGCGAACATGATGTATCATCTGAAACATGTCAGTAGCTACATGCCCATTAGCCACTTAGCACAATCATTACTGCTTTGGTGACAGTGTAATTAACAGGCGGCTCGCTCAGTGTGTGACGTGCACTTGTAGATAAAATAAAAGCTTATATTAATGAAGGTTCATTAGTACGGTTTTGTATTTCTCTGTAATGTGTTAACATTGTTACTGATACTATTCTTTCTCACACCTTGAACTCAAACCATTGTGTTACCCTGCCCAAAATATACAATTCATTAATTAAATTAATATCGTAAACATGCGGGTGACTAATTAACTAGCACTAGTGGACAGGGGTCACCACAACAGTTGTTTAGCTTCCATGTCAGACTCCATCCTGCTCCTCTAAACTAGGGCCTGCTGACTGACATTTTCTGTAGGTAATACACTGACTATGGATAAGTGCCTCATCTGTCAGACTCTCTTTTAGATTCTATTTTTAATTAGTCTGTCTTGTTTTTTTGGGTTGCTTTGCAGTGTTGGCAGTTGTTGCCAATGCTGGAGTAGCAAATTTCTCTGCAGGATTCTCCACTATTGAATCAGACTTTCGTCTGCTGAAGGAATGTGCACGTGCATCTGCATTCATAGAACAGCCAATAGGAACACATACTCTCTGAAATGACCTGTGATTGGCAAAGTCTCCTGGCACAGACTAGATTTTCTTGAGCCTGAAAAGAGAGCCAAGACAGGGTGCAGAAGTCTAGTGTTCTCTCAGTGCACTTCAATTAAATATGCTCAAAGTTTACTATGGAATTTTTGCTCAATGATGCCAAAATACAACTGTCTACACCAGCTTTAAATGTACTGTCCAAACACATATTCTTTATACCTCTTCAAAAAAAAAAAAAACTGCAGGTGTTCTTGTGTAAATGGTAAAGGTATTATGTCCTATGCAGCAGGGGAGTTTTAACAGAATAGAGAAGCACCCTCGTAGGTCTTTGAAACAGTAAATAGGACAATTTTCATAACTGGCTATGCCTTGAATTATTATTGTGATATATCAATACATGTTTTAAAATAGCTAAATATTAATTTACATGAAACAGCTGCACAAATATCCAGTTTTGTGTCAGGAGATGATCATGTAACAGTTCTCTTTGAGTTCAGAAAGTCAAAGAAAAGCTGGACTCAAGCCTGAAACTGACACCTGCAGGGTGATGTAATGTCAAACTCCCACAGAGAAACACTGATACATGTCCAGGCCATACTTCTGCCTACCTTTAAAGACAAAGAATAAAGCACAACTCCAAGTCAAAGACTGATGCAGCCCATCGGATGATCAGACAAAATGCAGCTCAAAAATGTGCACGCAACTGAAATCCTCCACAGACTCATCAACAGCTGTGTTTTAACGATGCATTAAATGTTAAAAGCTCCAAATCTCAAGCTTTTGGGTAAAAACATCTGGCAGGAGACAGACGATCCCTCAACTGCGGGGTTTCTACTTTCCTCATTGTAACGTGGCAGTGCTTACACAAGCTAGAAACAGCACACACATTACAGAATGAACAGATGGAATGAAGCCCACAGCCTCTGGGTCTGCTTACAATGTGTCAGTCCAAACAGGGGTGTTGTCATTAGAAACACATTGCCAGCATGGACATATAAACTGAGGTTCAATTAAGGCAATGCTTATGGAACTGAGCTTTGTTCCCGGACCAGCTCGTTCTTGAATGTAACTTGTTTCAAGCTAGGAAACAAATGGTCCCTTTCACAATTTCACTGAGAAAAAGTGGTTGGACATCAGAAGAGGACAAGGATTGGACGAAGCTGCAGCCACTTAGCAACATCTAATCAAACAGAGGAACATATCCAGGATGTGCTGGCTCCCCTTTGCATTGAGCACAAAACAATATGTCAAGAACTTCACTGAACCAGAAACTCAGAAATCTGAAACCTCCGCTCCCCTTTGCCTAAGAAACTCTGACAGGAGAGAGGAAATTGTGCTCTTTAGGATATTCTGAATTAACCCTCTTTAAAAACTCAATGTTACTGCCATCTTGCTGTAAGGACGGTCAAAGGGGTTTTTGTCTTATATATATGTATATATATATACAAACTGTTTCACCTTCATCAAAAGCAGATGCGTGAGTCCCACCTGCTGCTGGTGGGGGCTATGCTTTGGCTGAAAAGGTCAAAATGTCAGTTTGTAAGAATGTCAACTGGCCTTTTCATGCCCTTTCCTGTAGCACTCTGAGGAGAGCTTCACAGCAAGAAGACACAGAGATAAGGGTTGAGACTGAAACGCACCAAAAAGGTTTGGACTGTGACATTTTCTCTGTTGCACATTGTCCTTGGGCTGACCTTGTTTTTAAAATCATGATGGGCCTGATTGATAAGAGGATACTATTGTCACGTAGGTGTGAACAGGTACAATAAAAATATGTTTTTCTGCTCATGTAACACACTTTTTTTCCAGATTAATTTATAACTTGTTTCATAAATGAAATACCAAGAAAAACTGATGCCAAGTTGACATCATCGTATTTTGTCTGACCAACAACTGCAAATCTAAATGTATTGGAGTTATGCTATAAAGTAGAGAAAAGCAACAAAACCAGCAAATGGCTGGTATGTTTGCTCGAGAAATGATTCAGCAGATTATCAAAATTGTTGACAATTAATTTTCTGACAGTCGACTAACTGATTAATTGACTTTGTATATAGTGCAATACAGTACACTATAGATATGTTTAGATGATGTAAAAACTGAAATTAAAAGCCAGTTTCTTTAATTCTACCTCATATTACGTCACTTACTATAAATCCCTAAAGTTTAACTGATCCTATGATAACTTTTGGAAAACTTTAGGTTGCCACTAAATGCAAACCCTGCAGTACCATCGCAGGATTTCAACATCATAACCGACCATCACACAGACGCAGTAATAAGTCCCATTAATAAAAGCGTTAGCTCTGATTTTTAAACACTTACAGTAAAACTTTGGCAGGGTGTTTGCAGGCTGTAGTTGAACTTACTTTCTTTGTCCCTCCTGAGGCTGTGAGCTCCTGCAGGCTGCAGTAAAAGTGCGTCCAGACCAAAGCCCAAAGACAGCTGCAGCTTCTCCTTCTTGTCTCCAAACTTTCACTCCCTCTCGTGCCAATCTCACGATCGGACCGGAGCTGCGGTGGCCCCGCCCACTGACTGACGCCCACCTTTAGGATGACCTCACCGGAGATGGCCCGGGACGTGGAAACAGCGCATCCGACCTGAACGCTGATAGGACAATGGTCCTTTCAAAGTATGTCGAGGAAAAAAAAAATCATTATTAAACTACCAGAAAGAAACTTGTGTAGGCCTGGATGGGAAAACGGATATTACATTTTTAGTCTATAGGTGACTTAAGGTGACTGGGCTATCTGCAAAGTCTTTGCTGTATTAGGTAATTAAACCTGGGGTAGGCAAAAAAAACAACAACCAAAGAGCAGAATTCTTCCTGCAGCTCTCCTCTCCCTGTCCTAAGCCCCTCCCACCATATGACCACAGGCATATGCATGTCCTTCACACAGTAACCCAATGTTTCCCATACACTGATTTATTAAAAACAATTCAATTGTAGAGTTGCAGGCAGCACACTCCCTCAGCTCCTCCTTGCCTCACTCTCTGTTTATCAGACCACAAATGAGATAAGAATTAGCAAGCTAGCACCCCACACTTTGCTTCCTGACGCTGAGAAACTGCTTCACTGGGAAGAGAGCGTGCAGCAGCTCTAGAGCTTCGGTCAGCGGATGTGGCAGCTCAAATTTGGCTGTCGCAACCCACCCAGTGCCGAGCATCTCAACCTGCTGGTGGCATGTGGCAGTACAGGCTCTGACCTGTGTAATGGCAGCAACAGAAAGTTTGCTGCTTGGTGGAGAGTCAAGGCCCTTCAGCTCTGGAACGCCCTGCCTGATGATCTGAGGCTTGCTGAATCAGTGACAACTTTTAAATCACTTCTTAAAACTTATATGTTCATTAGTTTTAGCACACTGTTTATGTTATATATGTCTCATTCGACTGCTTTTATTGTTTTTTATCTTGTGTTGCGTGCGGGTTTGTATTCTTTTATTCTGTATTACTCTAACTGTTTGATTTCCTGTACCTTAGTGCAATCTGTGGGGCAATTAGTTGCCAACTTTGCTTATCTGCTTCAATGACAGTATTTTATGTTTATTTTATTTTTTTGTTCTTTGTATTTTCTTGAAATTGTCTCGTTTTACAGTATTTGCTTGCATTCCACATTGTTTTAAATGCGTGATCAGCCAAGTCAAGTTTATTATTTATTTATTTTTTTATATAGCCTTTTAACAGTGGATCATAACACTACTGGAACTTGCATGTGAAAAGTCACTTGTGTCACCTGACTCCAGTCACCTCAGCACTACTTAGCATTTTAGCATCTTTCAGCTCGTTGTGTTGGTTTATTCTCACTGCTCTCATAGCATTATGTTTCCACTGCAGCAGGCCGCTGTTTCCAGTAAAAACCCTCTAAGCCCCACTGTAAGCTACACTACATTCCCACCACCAAGCAAAGCAGAGAGACAAAGTTAGCAGCTAACTGGTAAACTAAGCAAGCTAAAGAGTCATTCAAGTGTTGACCAAAATTAGCTAAAAATATCACCACAGATTAATACTAGTGTTGCTCCATGATGTGTTAACAGGCAGCTGTTTGCTAATAAGTTCGCCATAACACAGTGGCGCCCCCCATGGTCCCCCTGATGCAATTGCTGACCCCTGTTTTCTCCTGTTAGTTTCTTCTCTCTCCTCCCCTCTTTCCCTACATCAAATGAGGCATTGGGGGAGGTATAGTGTGTGGCCCTGGCGGCGAAGAGTTCAGCCTGCACAGACATCTTTCCTTGGCTCTGCCTTCCCTATGCTACTTCTTACTTTTCTATCTATCGATGCTCTTTCCTACTTTTCTATCCATCTAACCTTAACCCTCTGGCTCCCACTCGGAAACCGGCAGATGGCACCATCACACCCACTCATAGTCTCAAGTATTTGCATCAAGGGACTGTAACATCTAGTCTTTAACTGAACTGAATCATCTCACATGTACAGATATATAACACAGGTTGCTGTGGGACTCAGAATGTTAACTGTCCCACTATTAGTCAATGCACATCAAATAATTAGTAGCCTAACTGTTAAATAAGAAACCAAAGTATATCAGTATGTAGCTACGTAGTTTTCAACTAGCCTATATTTCAACAGCATAATCAATTCCCTAAATATTAGTTATGTGTTTTGGTTTTGGTGTAACACCCCAAGATTTTCAGTGTCCCCTTTGGCCCCTCCCCCTATGAAACATTTCTGCATACCAGTTTTTTCCGCTGCCCCTACAGGTTTAAACATTAGTCTAGGCTTTAGGCCTCAAGTGAAACAAGATACCAAACAATATTTAAATGATTTCATCAGTCTCCAGTGGTGGCTACATGCAAAGCAAACAAAGCATGAATTTTTGTTCTAAATTTAGCACTGCTCCCTCTAAACTCATTAGCCAAAGAACACTTTGAATATGCTTTGTTGGATTTTCCAGTGCTTTTGGCTGGAAGATGATAATTAAACTAATTGGAGTGTGTTCTTATTTTGGCTTCTGTCTCGTCTTAGAAAGAAGCGGCACAGAGCTGTGCTGTACTTCAAAATAAAGGGGGACAAATGTCCATCAGGCATGTAGTTAGATATTTTAATTCACTTACTAGGAAAATGTATTGCAATTGTTTACTATTGTACAGGTAGTGCAATGCATTAAAAGATATATTAATAATAAATGACAGAAGCACTTTTACTGCTCCATACTGCCATTATGCCACATCTCTGTGGGTTATGCCACTTTCATATGTACATGAGGGCAAGTTCCACCTGTCAAAGGTGGGAGGACTGCCAATCTCCTCGTCAGTTGGCACTCTTTACTAGCGAATTTCTACATGCAGTAGAAGTACCCTTGTGTTAAAACCCATCACTGGACCGGACCCGACTCTGCTGCCACCTGGTGTAAAACAGGACAGGACATTTTTTCTTTCAGTAATGTTGCAATGTTGTTTCATTGTGTTCTCCTCCAAGATTTTTTCCTCTCAACTTGAACCAGACAGGTCTTAGTGACTCTGCGGTGCAGCTTTGGCAGTGTATTGTTTTTGTTGTGAAAAGGAGAAAAGCAGTGTGTGTTGTGAGGAAAGGCATAGCTGTGTGAAACAAGACAATACAGATCAAGACTGCAGAATTGTTACAAAGTGTTCCTGAAATCTTTTGGCCTCCACTCGTGTAAAGAAGTCACATTACTCAGATGAACGTTTCATACAGGGTAAGGCCTGACAGGCAGGGGACTCTCTGTTGCCTTTGTTGTGTGACTTCTCCAGCGATCGTCATGCCTTTCACGAAGCAGGTTTCGTACCATTTGTCGCTTTCATCAAGGTGTTTGTGGCATCTGGCGATCATGTGTTCCTCCACCTTCACTCTCAGCCTTCGTGGCATCAGTAGAGACTGTTGCTGCACCGCTGCCAGTCTTTTCATTTTTCAGACAAAGATTACGCAGCAAGCAGTGAGTGATCGTGATCAGTGTTGCATGAACTCACTTCATCTTCCCCTCTTTCATTTCTGCACAGCGGCGTTGTCATGCAGCCCAGAATGTGGCCTCGACTGTCACAATACTGGTCTAGGGGAACATGTGAGGCAAATCCGCATCACATCTTTGCCATTTAATTTCACATTACACAGCCATTAGAAGCAGGGTTATTAGCTGGGTAAGTTCTCCTGCATACAGATACATGGAGACCACCTGGACCAGAGAGAGGACGTCAACCCTCTGTGAACTGGAGTCGACTCTTGCTGCTGTCACCTTAAATAGGAATGAATTAAAAAACGAACACACATCAGTATCACATACATCATGATGTTATTCATAGTTAAAGGAATTAATTGACATTCTAGGAAATATACTTATTCACTTTCTTATTGAGAGTTAGACGAGAAAGTCAACAACCCTTTTCATGTCTGCAGATTAAATATGAGCAGAGCCAGGAAATTCTTATCTTAGTTTAGCATAAGGACCCTGCACTATCAAAACCCTACCAGCACCGCTAAAGCTCACTAATTAACACATTACATCTCATAGTGTAAAAAAAACATGTTGTTTTGCGGAGGGGGTTACATGCTGGACTATTTCTTGGCCAGAAGCTTACTTGTTTGGCTGGTTGGTTGGGCTAAACCATAGACTGTAAAAATAATGGATGCAGCTACCATGATGTTACATTTGTTTATTGACTCCTGTTTTGAAGCCTCGAGCACCACCTTTTCAGCTGTCACCATCTTGGTTTTTTTTTTGAGCCAGCAGTGAATATGTAGGGGAGAGGCTGGAGCTGTGGAGGAGCAAGAGGTTGATCTGATTGAGAAACTGAAGACAACCTGTCACTCAAAGTGGCCTGTACTTAATCATGCTTAAGCCTCAATAAAGTATAAATGGATGAGTTCTATAAAATTCATCCACTTTGCAGTTGTCTTGAAGGGGGAAGTTAGCTATAGAGACCAAAACCATTTTTGTACCAGGCTGTAAACATGTTTACTTCTGCTGTAAAGTTGGGCATTTTAACAAAAAGGGTCTATGGGGACTGACTGGCTTCTCGAGCCAGCCTCAAGTGGCCACTCAAAGGGTTAGGGTTAAGGTAAAAATGCCAGGATAAGCCAATCAGAGGCAGAGTAAGACCTTTTCTATCCTAGCATTCGCTCATTCACGCCCCTGAGGTTGCTACTTAGGCGTCACCTTTCATCTCATGCCTTCATTAAGTCAGAATTTCAATTATCACCAATTAGCAACAATATGAATACAGAATCACAGAGCTGCTGTCATGGCTCTAGAGTCTTCAGTGTTGGTACCCTTCAGTTTTTGTAAAGATATGTGTTAATTAGTTGGCTTCAGATCTGCATGCAGATTTTTTTTTTTAATTTTTGGACAGAAAATAATTGGCAACCAGGCATGACCTGCCCTACATTGCCTCTGATTGGATTACCCTAACATTTTAACCCTACTGTAAGTCTAACCAATGTCAGTCCTCCTGGCTAAACCTAACCAAACTAAGGCAATGAGTAGTTGCCAATCAGAGG